GTGTGTGTGTGTCTGTGTGTGAGAGAGTGTGTGTGTCTGTCTGTGAGAGAGAGAGAGTGTGTGTGTGTGTGAGAGAAAGTGTTTCTGTATGTCTGTGTGAGAGAGAGAGTGTGTGTGTGTGTCTGTGAGAGAGAGAGAGAGAGAGTGTGTGTGTGTGTGTGTGTCTGTATGTCAGTGTGTGAGAGAGAGAATGTGTGTGTGTGTGTGTGTGAGAGAGAGAGTGTGTCTGTATGTCTGTGTGTGTGAGAGAGAGAGTGTGTGTGTCTGTGTGTGAGAGAGTGTGTGTGTCTGTGTGTGAGAGAGAGAGTGTGTGTAGTGCAATTGCCTAATGGCCTCCCTGTCTCTGTTAGGAGCTGAACTGTACCCTCTTCCTCTTGGCCTGCTACGCCAAGTACCAGTGCCCGTATGTGTGGATCCGATCCAACCACGAACGTCTTATTAAAGCCACGAGTGGGAACTGGGCATCCAAGGACAGTCCTCTGAAGCTGAACTCCACTCGGGATTGGCGCCAGAGCGGTAATCTTTTTGAACACGTGCTTGTCCATGAATCGTCTTAACCGGGTTTTCCTTCGGCTTTGCTACTTCACCTGGCTTGTGGGCCCCAGAAACCAGACTACCCACCTCCCCCTGAACGTGGCATAGTCGCTGGAGAAGCATCGCATGAGATGAGCCATGGCTAATGTGTCCTGAAGCATCTAGACCATGGTTCCATTTAGAAGGAAGCTTTAGTGGTAGTGGCTTTGGCCTAGTAACCTGGAGGTCCATGCAAATGACAATGGAGGAATTTAAATTCACGCAAATAAAATCTAGCCTCTGACTTGTGAAACCACCATTAATTGTTTTAAAAAGCCCAAGTCATTCACCCACGTTCTCTCGGAAAGGAAATCTTCCATCCTTATGTAAACTCCAAATCCACAGATACCTGGTTGACTATTAAATGCCCTCTGAATTGCTCCAGAAATTGTTGGAATTCAAGAACAACTAGGAACAAAGGATCCGGAGTAGGCCATTCAGCCCCTCGAGCCTGTTCCACTATTCAATGAGATAGGAACAGGAGTAGGCCATTCAGCCCCTTGAGCCTGTTCCACCATTCAATGAGATCATGGTTGATCTGTGGCCTAACTCCACACACCTGCCTTTGGCGCAGATCACTTAACACCTTTACTTAACAAAAACGTATTGATTTCAAATTTAAAATTAACAACTGATCCAGCATCCACTGCCATTTGTGGAAGAGAGTTCAAACTCTCCAGCACCCTTTGTGTATAGAAGTGCTAGCCAATGTCTCTCCTGAACGGTCTGACCCTAATTCTCAGACTCTGCCCCCATAGCTCTAGAACCCCCAACCAGCGGGAATATCTGCCCTGTCTTTTCCTGTTAATATCTTGAACACTTCGATCAGATCACTCCTTAACCTTCTATGTTCTAGAGAAGACAGGCCTAATCTGTATACTCTGTCCTCATGACGTAACCCCTGAAGTCCAAGGGGCATTCTTGTAAACCTACATAGTACTCCCTTCAAGGCCAGAATATTCTTCCTCAGGTGTGGTACCCAGATCTGCTCAATTTACGGGCAGCAAATGCTGCTCTTACCTGCGAGGTTACATCTATGAAAGAATACACTTTTAAAAAGTGCATTAAGCCCAGCAGTCGACCCTGTTGATTTTCCTGATTCATGTGGGCCCCTCAGGTCTGCAGTAGATCAATACGTCTCTCAGTTTCTCCATTGCCTTGTGCAGTTCCTGCTCCCTATCATTTCCTGGTAACCTCCCCTCCCCTGCTTCCTCCAAACTGCTTGCCTCCTCCTGAGCAGCACCCCTGTCTCGCTTCTGTCTCCCTGCAGGTGGACAGATTTGGGAGATTGTGGCTGAGCTGGTGGAACTCTGCACGTGGCCTACACCATCGAACCCCTTCACCTTGGACATAAGGTACTTTGAGTCTCTGCCTCTAATCGAGAGGTTCCTGGCTTCGGGGGCCATGGCTGACTTCCTCCAGAGGATAGTGATTCACGGAAACCGAGAAAAGCTCTACTACACCAAAGGTAACGTGTTGACATAAACGGTCTTTGCCTCCTACTTGTACCTCAGTTCTTGTTTATCCTTTTCCTGCCAGCTGCAACACCATCTTCCTGTTTCCAGCTTATGAAATGGGCCCATAAGTATCAGATTTTCACCGATAAGTCCTGCAGGGAAGACCTCTTCCACCGCTACCTGAGGGAGGAAGTGGGAGGGATGGACACATTTAAGGGGGAGGTTGGATAAACACATGAGGGAGAAGGAAATAGAAGGATAAGCCGATACAATAGAAAAGAATAGAATATCCTTTATTGTCATGTGTACTCCAGTGCAGGAATACAGTGAAAAGTTCTACAATGTCACCTCTTATGGTGCCATCTTAGGCACAACTACTCAGATACAAAAGAGGAATAAAAAAGAAAAGTAGTTGCATCACTTTTACTGTGTTTAAAGAATAACTCAGAAATAAGACATAGTTAAAAGGATAGACATTACAGACAGACAAACAAATTACACATAAACATTACATTGCAGAAGTTCAGTGCGGGGGCTTCCACACGTGGTCTGACCACCCGCGCCAGGCCCCAGTCCAACAACTATCCCCACTCCACTCCAAGCCTCCAGTCCACTCAGCACCGGCTCTCAGTTGTTCCAAGGTAAATTTTCTCCGGGACTGCTTCCCCCGCACCGGCCCCATTCCGGGACTGCTTCCCCCGCACCGGCCCCAATCCGGGACTGCTCCACCCGCACCGGCCTCATTCCGGGACTGCTTCCCCCGCACCGGCCCCATTCCGGGACTGCTCCTCCCGCACCGGCTCCATTCCGGGACTGCTCCTCCCGCACCGGCCCCAATCCGGGACTGCTTCCCCCGCACCGGCTCCATTCCGGGACTGCTCCTCCCGCACCGGCCCCATTCCGGGACTGCTTCCCCCGCACCGGCTCCATTCCGGGACTGCTCCGCCCGCACCGGCCCCATTCCGGGACTGCTTCTCCCACACTGGCCTCCAACCATGACTTGCTCCTGGCGCTGGCCTCTGCTCCGGGACTGCTTCCACGCACCAGTAAGATGGTGAGAGTTGGGAGAACATTCATGTGAAACAGTAGCGCAGAGTGGATGGATTGTTCCTGTTCTATAACATGCTAAGTGTGGAAAATCAGCAACACTGGAAGCAGATTGCTGATCATTATGACATTCCTGTTTATGGGATCTTGCTGTGTGCATTATTTGCTACTGGCATTCCTGCATTACAACAGTGATACACTTCAGGAAGGACTCACTTATTTCGACGTACTTTGGAAGCTTCCTGAAGTTGCGAAGTGCAAAGTTTTATTTTAATATATGCTGTATTTTGTCCTCATCTCACGATGATGCAGACCCCTAGCATTAGGTCGGATATTAAAATGAACAGATCTGCATTCTCACCACCCGCAGCATTACAGAAGGCCCTCGGAGGAAGGTCTCCTCCTGCCCCGGTTAATCACGAAGGAAATCGTATCCACGCAAGTACAGCAAACTTTGTATGAACGAGCACTCGATAAACCAGCAAAAACTATATACCTCAAATACCGCAAAGTCTCCTGTATTATTCTGTCCAATTACTATAGTTTTTTTTTACTTTAATGTAAATATACTTGTTCAATCGAATGTCCACACGAAATTGACTCAATTTCGAGTCAGTTTGTCCTCAAATACCGCAATGTCCAAGTAGTCAGTTGAGGGCGTGAGTGAGAAGGCAAATAAGTTTTATTTAAGGCAAAGTTGCATTATTATTTAAGTGATTTATGCTGTAAATAAAGTATAACAGTGATGTGTATAACCCCCTGCATTATGTTTCTATTACTTAGTGTGTGTTTTCACATGTGGACCTCTCGATTATCTGGAATTATTGATCAATCATCACACTCCTGGTCCCGTTGTGCCAGATAATAAAAGGTTTACTATGTATCATTTGTAATTTGTAACCAAAGGTAAAATCGCCATAGTCTTCCCAGGGCTCCTCTCTCAATAGAGAGAGATGATTGGTGGTGGTTTAACCTGAGAGTCAGCAGAGGGGAAGGAGAGTTGAGAAGGAGAGTTCTACATGGTAACCTCAGCTGGTGCTGAGGAATTAAACCCACTCTGTTGGCGCCACACATCAGCCAACTGACCCCCAAACAGGGAAATCTGAAACAAGCAAAAGCAAAAACTCAGCCAGGTTTGGCTGTCTGGTCTGGCAGCAACCATGGAGAGAGAAACTGAGGTAGCGTTTTGAGCCCAGTGACCCCTCCTGAGAACGTTCAGCTCTGGGCATCTCACCGCAGAAGCGTACATCAATGTCGGAGGGAGCATAGTGCACATGCACCTGAATGACACTGAGTCTTAGAGAGGTAAATCACATGGACAAGTTCAAAGGGCTGAATGACCTGTGTCTATTTAAGAGTAGAAATCCTTACGCAAACTGTTTCCTGTAACAGCACTGACAACCAGCTCAGTTCAGGAAGCGGTGCTGAACAATGTGTTTCTGAAGAATCCCATCATAGATATGTAAAAAATGTTCTCTTCATCAAAAGAATATAGATAATTTACAGTGTGGTGGTGGGGTCAGTGGATGGGCCAAGGAGTGGCAGATGGTGTTTAACATGGATAAATGTGAGGTGTTGCAAATCAGGGTGGGACTTACACACTTCATGGTAAGGTCTTGGGGAGTGTTGCTGAACAAAGAGACCCTGGGGTGCAGGTGCATAGTTCCTTGAAAGTGGTGTCGCAGGTAGACAGGGCGGTGAAGAAGGCATTTGGTACACTTACCTTTATTGGTCAGTGCATTGAGTGTAGGAGTTGGGAGGGTCATGTTGTGGCTGTGCAGGTCATTGGTTAGACCACTTTTGGAGTCCTGCGTTCAATTCTGGTTTCCATACTATAGGAAATATGGTGTGAAACTTGAAAGGATTCAGAAAAGATTTACAAAGATGTTGCCAGGGTTGGAGGGTTTGAGCTACAGGGAGGGGTTGAATAGACTGGTGCTATTTTTCCTGGAGCATTGGAGGCTGAGGGATGACCTTTATAGAGGTTTATAAAATCATAAGGCATATGGATAGGTCAAGGTCTTTTTCCCTGGAGTAGGGGAGTCTATAGGTTTAGGGGCATAGGTTTAAGGTGAGAGGGGCAAGATTTAAAAGGGACCTAAGTGGCAATTTTATCATCCGGAGGGTGGTGTGTGTATGGAACGAGCTGCCAGAGGAAGTGGTGGAGATGGGTACAATTACAATATTTAAAAGACATCTGGATGGGTACATGAATAGGATGGATTTAGAGTGATATGGGCCAAATGCAGGCAAATGGGACTAGACTGATTTAGGATATCTTGTCAGCATGGACGAGTTGGACCGAAGGGTCTGTTTCCATGCTGTACAGCTCTATGACGCTGTCTTCTGATTAAATGTTTAAGCAACAACAATATCCCTTATTCTTATAGCACCTTTAAAATCAGAAAACCACATCAAGGAGAAAAATGTGACGCTGAGCCACATAGTTAATACAAGCACAGGTGGCCAAAATCTTGGACAAACAAATATGTTAGCACCTTTGTAGAGGAGGGACAGGAGGAGATGTATAAGCAGGGAATTTGATTGGGTGGAAAAACAGAAAGCTGGTGAGGGAAGTCCACTAGGCAACATAATCTTAGCGCCAAGGTGTTTAAGAGCGAGAACTCTTACTCCCTCAAAAGCTGCTGGCAATTTGGAACCCTGTCCTTCCTTCCCTGCCCACCCCCAACCCCCAGAAGGCTGTCGAACAAGTTGGATCTTGCAAGACTGGGGTCAATAGATTTCCATTGGGTAAGAATGTCGAGGGAGATGGAGTTATGTGAAGTAGGTGCAGTTGAGACACAAATCAGATGTGATCCAACTGAGCAACGGAGCGGGCAGTATGACCCAATCGGATGCAAATATTGACAATCGAAATCATTATGTAAACTGTTTGCTGTGACACTGCTGTTGCAAGCTTTGGCCAGTGGGTGGCCCTGTACACCAAGTTTCTGAAGCTTCCTATATCATTGCCACCAAATTGAATGATGGAGGCCAATCTACAATTTGGAGAGAAGGTGGGTGTGGGGAACGGCCTCCCAGTTCATTCCCTAGAGCCGTGCAAATGCTGTCATTTTGTCTTTCAGTTTTAGATGAGCTGGAAACCCTGAACCGATTTCACGTTAAGGCTCTCCACGAGATGCAGAAACAAAAGCTGAGAGAGATGGAGGGTGAAGCAGACAATGAAGACGCGATGAACAGCAGCTTATCCAGTGGCGAGTGACTGGGCTAGCGTTACTTCTCCTCCAAAACTCAGGAACAAATCCAGCCAAGAGTAGTGTAGGCAAGTAGAGTAACTGGATAAAGGGAGGGTCGTGGGGGTGGCCGGGGGGGAGGTGGGGATGGCTACGGAGTTGGGAATGGGAACTGATTGTATTTAATACCCTGGGGCTTGGGTGCAGTTGAAGTGCTGTGTGCAGGGAGGGGAGGGACACAAGATTCTCAGCTCAATCCTTGCTCTAATGTAGGGAATGCCTGTCTGATGGGGGGAGGGGGGATGCAGGCAGCAGCAGTATAGACCATTCAATACAGGCTTACCATTGCAAACGCTGAGAGAAGGGGGGAGATATCAGAGGGAGGGAGCAACTGATTGAGGGAGGCGAGACGGATAGAGCGGATGACGGACAGACTGGAGATGGAGGGAATGACCCAGGGATGGAAGATTGCAAACATGAGTAACGAATGGAGGGAGCGACTGCCCGACAGGTGGGAGACAGTGACAGACCAAGGTATCGGAGATGTAGGGAAAGTCCATCCGAACAGATGGAAGGAGAGCCATTGTATTAAACTGTGAAAGCTAATTGCTTAGCTTCTGAATCACAAGCGACATTTCTGATCAGGATTTCGCTCCTCCAATGGACATATGGTCTGAGCTGGAGGTCCCAAGCGAGCTGGTCGCCAGGTGAGTTCAGCACCAGGCTCCAATGCTCTCGAGAGAAGCCGGCGGGCGAGGTGGGGGGATATCGGGCATTGAGACCTGTTGATTCTCACTGGAATTGTGACCATTCAATGGGCTAGAAATAGGCAAATATACTGCAGTCACACACTTCTCACAGGAAGAGGGGCAATTGGATGAGGTCAGCAGAACTGGAGCAAAGAAGAATCTGAGCTGTCAGAGGAATGCAGGGTGTAAGTGAGCAGAGCTCACACACAGTGCCTCCCCGATTTGATGGTCCTCAGCTCTGCGCATGTGCACACCTTTTCAGTAATTGGCATTGATTCAGCCGATGTGGACTTATTCTAATAAAGATCTTCACTGTACCCTGGTGAAGAGTGCTACTTGTACTTTGTTCTCTATCTGGTCAGCTACTTTGCCTTTTGTCTAAGACTCTTCCCAGCCCCCAAATCTGTCTGAGAACACGTGCGGCTCAGTCTCCAGGTCTATGTTCAGTATGAAAGCAAAGGATGCGGAGAAAGTGCAGGCAAAGTGGAGTTGAGGTCATCATCTCCATCAATAATAGGTAGAGTACAAACTGTACTCCACCAGTCTGCGCTTGGAAAAGCCAAAACAAAATGCTTACTATTAGAGATAACAAGGTGTAGAGCTGGATGAACACAGCAGGCCAAGCAGCATCAGAGGAGCAGGAAAGCTGACGTTTCGGGTCGAGACCCTTCTTCAGAAATGGGGGAGGGGAAGGGGATTCTGAAATAAATAGGGAGAGATGGGGGAGGCGGATAGAAGATGGATAGAGGAGAAGATAGGTGGAGAGGAGACAGACAGGTCAAAGAGGCGGGGATGGAGCCAGTAAAGGTGAGTGTAGGTGGGGAGTTAGGTCAGTCCAGGGAGGACGGACAGGTCAAGGGGGCGGGATGAGGTTAGTGGGTAGGAGATGGGGGTGGGGCTTGAGGTGGGAGGAGGGGATAGGTGGGAGGAAGGACAGGTTAGGGAGGCGGGGACGAGCTGGGCTGGTTTTGGGATGCGGTCGGGGGAGGGGAGATTTTGAAGCTTGTGAAGTCCACATTGATACCATTGGGCTGCAGGCTTCCCAAGCGGAATATGAGATGCTGTTCCTGCAGCTTGCGGGTGGCATCGTTGTGCAATGCAGGAGGCCCAGGATGGACATGTTGTCCAAGGAGTGGGAGGGGGAGTTGAAATGGTTCGTGACTGAGAGGTGCAGTTGTTTGTTGCGAACTGAGCGTAGGTGTTCCGCAAAGCGGTCCCCAAGCCTCCGCTTGGTTTCCCCGATGTAGAGGAGGCCACAACGGGAACAGCGGATACAGTATACCACATTAGCAGATGTGCAGGTGAACATCTGCTTGATGTGGAAGGTCTTCTTAGGGCCTGGGATGGGGGTGAGGGGGCTGGTGTAGGGGCAGGTGTAGCATTTGCTCCGGTTGCAGGGAAAAGTGCCGGGTGTGGTGGGGCTGGAGGGGAGTGTGGAGCGGACAGGGGAGTCATGGAGAGAGTGGTCCCTCCGGAAAGCAGATAATGCCAACGATTAGACATGTTTGGGCAGCACCATGCTGACAATCTCAAGTGTGACGACAGCTACACTGACGACCGAGTTAATCAGTCAGTCCCATAACAAGGCTCGTTACATTTGCTGGAAGTCACATATATTTATACACATGGGCCCATACTCCGCAAACAAGAGCGAGACTTCCAACCCTTCACAGCATTTCAGAATCGCTCAAATGCGTGACGAACACATCTCACACATTGTGCCTCCCTGTTTGATGGACCTCGTGTGCGTACATTTTCAGTAATTGACAACAGTTTCTCCGCGGCCATGGCTCGGCCAATTAGTGACAAGTAATCAGCATCCTTTCTCCTGTAGTATAAACTGTTGTGATCATTTGAAATGTGCCATTCTTGCATTTGTCCTGACGATCTCTAGTGGAAAGGCTTTGGCAACATGCCTGTCCCTCATCAGCCATGTTTGTGTTGAACAGGCACAATGAGTTGAATGGTCCACCAATTTCTTATGTGAGTTCAAAGATGGGTTCCCAGTCTCTGTCAATGGCTTCCCGCAGATGGTTCAGTTTGGGGCAGTTGTAAGCTCCAATTTTGGGGGTACCCAGGACACTGCAAGGCCATATCCAGGCAACAGCAAAACTTTGGGATGTCCAAATAGACTTGGGGTTTCAGGTACATAGATCTTTAAATTGTCACGAACAGGTGCAGAAAATAACCAAGGCGACCTTTATAACTAGAGGACTGGAGTACAGGGCTGCAGGAGTGGTACTGTGGTTATACAAAGCCCTGATTCGACCCCACTTGGGAGTACTGTGAGCCGAGCACGGTGGCTCAGTGGTTAGCACTGCTGCCTCACAGTGCCAGGGACCTGGGTTCAGTTCCAGCCACATTCTCCCTGTGTCTGCGTGGGTTTCCTCCGGGTGCTCTGGTTTTTACCCACAGTCCAAAGATGTGTGGGTTAGGGTGGATTGGCTGTGCTAAAGTGCCCGTAGTGTTCAGCGATGTATAGATTAGGTGGGTTATAGGGGGATGGGTCTGTGTGGGATGCTCTGAGTGTCGGTGTGGGCTTGTTGGGCCGAAGTGCCTGTTTCCCCACTGTAGGGATTCTATGATCTGGGCACCACACCTTAGGAAGGATAGATTGGCCTCAGAGGGAGTACAACTCAGGTTTACAAGGTTAATACCTGGACTTCAGGGGTTAACTTAGGAGGAGAAATTATATAAAATAGGCCTGTTTTATTTAGAACTTAGAAGTTTAGGGGTGATCTGATCAAGGTCTTCAAGATATTAACAGCAAAAGGAGACAGGGTGGATAAAGATTAATTATTCCCACTGGTTGGGGATTCTCGAACTGGGGGGGGGCGTTGTCTGAGCATTAGTGCCAGACTGTTCAGGAGAGACGTTTGCTTACATTTTACTGTCATGCATACCTAAGTACAATGAAAAGTGTACTGAGGCACCATTTTCCAGCGCCATCTTAGAATACAATAGTTAGAATTAAAAACAAGAGCCAAAAGGAAATGAAAACGTCCTGATAAACCTCACCACCATCGCCAGGAGTCTTGAGCCGGGCTCAGCGATGCCACCTACGCTGGACCCACCAACGCCGCAGGGCTGCCACCACTTCAGTCACCAATGCCACCACCTCGATTCCTACGCCAGGACCCACCAATGGCAAAGTTGCCACGCTCCGGCGCCATCTCTCACCGCTAGGCCCGTACTCGCTGCCGTTGCCACTGGTTCCATCCCAGCCCGGCTCCCCCAGGGCCAAAGGTAAGAGAGGACACTGTGGAGAACAGAACAGGAGAGAGAAAAGGAAAAAGAGAAATGGACAAGAGGAAAGCAGCAGATGAGCATGAACCTGAACTCTGCTACACAGCCACCGCCATCTTGGAAAGAGCACTTCTACACACAGAAGAGTGGTAGAGGTTTGGAACTCTCCTCCACAAACAGCAGTGGACGCTGGTTCAGTTGCAAGTTTTAATCCCGAGGTAGATGAATTTTTATCAAACAAAGGGATACAAACAAAAGGCAGTTATATGGAACCTTGCCACAGACCAGCCATGATCCCTTTGAATGGTGGAAAAGGCTCAAGGGGCTGAATGGCCTACTCCTGATCCTATGTTAGGTCCACTCCGGCTTTTGCTACCCTTATTCGTTGTACCAGCTGAGGGAACCTTTTCCACCTGCCACGCTCCAGAAAGGAAAAAGTTGCATTTCTCTAGCCTCAGGAAGTGCTTTTCAACCATCATCTTGCCATGTTACTGTTTGAAACATGGCAATCAATTTCCACACAGCAAGCTCCCATGGATAACAATGCAGCAAAAGATTCAGATCATCTGTCCTAGTGACAATGGTTGAGGGATAGATATTAATTCAGGACCCTGTTCCTCAGTGGCATGGGATCTTTACCGTTCGCCACAGCCTTGAAGGATTCTGGGTGAGAGCAGTTCGCAACAATACGCACGAAGCTCGCCCCGCGTTCAGGGAAAAATCAGCTCGCTCGATCAGCGCCATGACCTTCAACTTTCACCGCTCCATGATACCATCTTCAAAAACGCACTGCAGCAACTCGCCAGTGATCCTTCCGAACTTGTGACCCCTACCACTTCGAAGGACCGCTCCGCCCCAGCACATGGGAGCACATCACCTGCAGTTCCCATCCAAATCAAACACCATCCTGACAACAAGAACTTAAATAGCGCCTAAAAGAACCAAGCATCCACAGTACTTTGCAGGAGAGCTATAAGAATAAACATGACTCCAAACAACATGACATATTAGAACAGGCAACCAGAACCTAGGTCAAGGACATAAGTTTTAAGCTGTGTCTTAAAGGAGGAGAGAGAGGTAGCAAGGTTGATATGTTCTGGGGTGGGAATTCCAAAGTTTGGGGACCCAGGAATCTGAAGGCGTGGCTGCCAATGTGGAGCAATGCACAAGGTGCTGTAATTAGATGGGAGCAGAGATTTCTTGGGTGGCATGGTGGTTCAGTGGTTAGCACTGCTGCCTCACAGCGCCAGGGACCCGGGTTCACGTCTAGCCTCGGGTGACTGTCTGTGTGGAGTTTGCATGTTCTCGCCGTGTCTGCGTGGGTTTCCTCCCACAGTCCAAAGTCATGCAGGTTAGGTGGAGTGGCCATGGGAAATCGCCCCATAGTGCGCAGGCTGCGTGGGTTAGCCGTGGGACATGCAGGGTTACAGGGATAGGTTGGGGGAGGTGGGTTTGGGTGGAACGCTCTTCAGAGGGTTGGCATGTGGACTCAATGGAGCGAATGGCCTGCTACCACACTGTAGGGATTCTATGATCTTGAGAAGGATTTACAGAGCAGGTGATGAAGTTATAGAGGAACACAAATAGCTAGGGTGAGAATGTTTAAAATCAAGTCAATGTAGATCAGGACTTGGTGCAACTTAACATGTGGGCAGCAGAGATTCGGATTCACTCCAGCCTACATAGGGGGTAGAATGAGAATGCCAGCCAGGAATGTATTGAAATACTCAAAGTCCAAAGGCATGTGTGGGAGAATTTCAACAGCGAATGACTTAGAACTGTAGCCACTGTTCCTTGACTGTCACTGGGTCAGAATCCTGGAACTCCCTCCCTTACAGTACTGTGAGTGGGTGGCCCTTATACAGACAGACTGCAACAGTTCAAGAAGGCAGCTGACCACCAGGGAGGTTAGGGCTGGCATATCAATGTGGGCGAATTGCCCGCTGACATTCACGTCCCTAGAGTGATTTTGTTTTCAAACTTATCTGGAAACCTCCGCCTGTGAGACAGGATGGGAATGAGCAATTTGTACGTTGTTGCAGAAGCTGGTGTACTGCTGCCCCCTAAAGGTGTGCGGCTTCCTCTTCTGCAACGC